CGGAGGATACGGTGCCAGTGGTGGTTCCGGCACCTTTAGCGAGGAGATTGGCGGCGTCAGTGGGTGAGGCAATTTCTGAAGTCAAACGCCCCCTAGATGGGATACCTTCTGAAGTCTCGGCGACCGGTGTGGTAAGGCCGTGGGCCGGAGTTAGCCGAAGCGGAGCCGGTGCGGTAGACCGTCGTAATCTGCTACTGCCATTGTGCGATGCAGTGGCAGCGACGGAGATACGGCTAAAACACAAACAAGGAGCAGACTGATACCTCCAGTCGTTAGAGTCATAAAGTTTTAATTCAGTTAGGCTGCTGAAGTTTAGATCATTAACATGTACGATCAACGGCAACATCTAGACGGTTTGAAATAAGGGTAAAGCTGTCTTTTGAGGCCCCCTAAAAATAAACTCCTGCTGCCCAAGTGTCTCATGGAATTCGTGGTTAAAGGGTAAATACTGAATTAAAGAGTGTAAATGCGTGTTAAATTGGGTGGAAAGTGAACAATGGAAAGAAAATAAAAGCCACTGAAAATTGCTTTAGTGAGCTAAATATAATCAAATCAACAAACATAAAACTCCTTTTGCTTATGGCAAGGTGCCTTTGAATGAGCCGTAACCTTACAAATGGTAATTCAGCAACTTTGTTTCAACGCGTCCTTACGCAACTGCGTTTGTAAATGATCAGGTGGTTGCTGTTGAAGTTCAGTATTTAAGTCATTTTGTACTTTTCTAAACACCGGGTCATGAGGCCGAAAGACCCACTGCCGCCGCAGGAAGTCGCGGCAGGAGTCATTTATCGCATCTGTGCAGTTGTGGACAAACCAATTACGTAGGATAAACCGCGAAATTACTCTGGACGCAAATGGCCATGAATGCAGTAGCGGTGAGGAGGAAAGACAGTAGCTCTCAGGTTGCAGCTCACTCGAAGGGACTCGGCCATATTTTAAAGTTTACCGAGGCCGAATTTCTCGCAAGAGTTGACAACCGCGTGAGCCGCGAGCTGCTCGAGTCATGCTGTTCAGGCCCACAACTAATCAACAAGCGTAATGACCTGCCGTTTCCATTTTCTGCACTGAGACTTTGCCCGAACAAGATAATCCGTCACGTGTGGAGGGCCCGGGCCACTAATAATTCCAATTACATCTTGCCAAATTTTCAGGTAGTTACCATGTCAAAATCCAACACGGATGGTGAAACTGCGACAAGTAATGACTCGGACACGAACTGCAAGGCCATCATAGCATTACTTACGACTGCCAGCGGTGCTTACGAAAGCTGCTAATTGTAGTAGGCCTATAATCGTGTGACCACTACGGACTTTAAATGCTGCGCATCCTGTTCATCCACCATCCTTTTTGGCGATTTTCGCTGACGATAGGTTCGACCGACAATTCGAAACGTCTGGCCAATAAAATTATTGTTCCACTGATCGCATATTCTCTTACTCAACTGCTTCACTCGCTTCAATCAATCACACGGGAATTTAAAATGGCTTTCAATGTAACGTTATTAATTCCGCCTATTTTTACAACACGCGCCAGATACTTCTTCC